TAAACAAAAATGGGGCAGATATTTATGCTTTAGCTAAAAATTTAGATAACAGTTTATGTTGAATTACATTTAAAAAAAAAATATTAAAAAAACACGCATTGATTATTGATATGATTCTCAGTGTTAATTTAAATTTCCATTTTGTTTTTTAAAAAAACCACAAAAACATTGAAAAAATAATTTTGAACAGGTACTATAACTTATTTTTTTTTAATGTTTTACTTGAAATAATTAGCGCTTCACGCTCTCATGCCACAGGTCCTGGGTTCGATTCTCGAACCAGGAAGTGTTGACTCAGTCTTCCATCCCTTCATTGGGTCGATAAAATGAGACTCAAGTTTTCTTCTGAACTAAAAGCTGAGGGTTCTGCGTTCGGCTGACCACCTAACAAGAGCACCTGCTCCTGCACCCCACAGCCCAAGGTCAAGGAAACTGAGTTGGGCTCAGTAGGTCTTGGCCTTCTATGTCTGGTCTATCTTGCCATTGAATTTAGTTTGGTTCATTTAAAATAATAATTCTTTGCAGTAATGTACAACAATAATTTATAGGCTAGACAATTAAAATTTAGCAGCATAAATTGAATTACTTCAGTAGACAGCAGCTCCAAAACTTTGAAATCCAAAATTACAAAGACAAATAGAAAATACATTTTAATTTTTTTTTATTTTAAAAAAGTAATAGAGCTTAATTACAAATAGGACAATATATTTAATTAATTTATTCATACAAATATTTTTTATTTGTTATATTTCAATTTAACTAGTTTCTTTTTTAAAAAAATATGATATAAATTACTTAATCAATCATCAATTACTAAATCAGCTGATGTTGTCGAATTTCTTTTTACTTAAGTTTCCTTATTGTAATTTTATTGTAACTTCCATAATTTTTCTTTCTATTTACAACAAAACAGTTCTAAATACTTTTATTTGCATACTTAATTTCACTTTTCTTACTTAAAAGTGAAATTTAAATATATAAGGAGCTTATAGATCGATTAAATAATTATTAACAAAACTTACACATCGAATTACTTAAAACAATTTTAAAAATTTCCATACTGAGTTTTTGTTTCCCCCCCAACTACTGTTCCTAGAAACAACTATAAGGGAATAAAATGTCATAATCACAGTTTGCAAATAGAAAAGAAAGTTTTGTTCATAAAAAATTAACTTCTAAAACTTTTTTAAAAAAATAAAATTTTATAACTTTTATAAAAGTGCAGTGCAAGTCAACTTAACAATCTTCAGCTTATGTAAAAATTAAAAATTAGATATCACTATTGTGACCTTTTATTAATTTGAATGTGGATTATTTTAAGTGGCTGCAATTCTGCTAAAAAATTTCTATTTATACCAAAGTTCGATATTTAATTCAATGATATCCCCGCAATTTTGGTTAGCTAAAAGTTTTCCACAGGAAAACTGATTGCTTTCCGAACTTATGAAAAAAATTAATATGTAATGCCACTTTAAATAGATAAAATTTTAGTAAATGAGCAAACAATTCGTTTTAATTTATTGTAGAATTGTGGGGAAAATAAAAGAGTTAGTTTGTTAGATGCTAGTAGAATACTAAGCAAAGCATGCAAACACGGAAAAAAGTAGTCTACACTACAATTCCAAACTCAATCCATAAATCAAAATTTTAGCATTCAAAAAATCTTAGTAAATGTCCTATATTGTCTTCCATCTGAGCAATGGAATGAATTTTCTTTTATTATGATGAGTACAATTTTTAATTATGATGAGTATGTGAAAATCACTGAAAATATTATTTATGAAGTTATTGGAAATACAATCAAACCTCGCTATAGTGAACCTTCAAGGGACCGACATTTTGGTTCACTATAATCAGATAATTTTTCCTGAATTTCTGTTATTCCGCTCTTTAAACCTGTCTAAGCTGTTATATTTTAGCACATAAAAGTAGTCTCATAAAATCGCTTAGCAAATTCATCAACATTTGTTTAAATACTATGAGATTGCGGCTTCTTCTAATGCTGAACCACTTCAGTAATGCTTCTTCAACATCCTTGTGATCTGCTTTTCGCAACTTTCTTCTGGCATCTAAATTTTTTTCATGAGCAGAAATTATTAATTGCCTATTTTTTCAAATGTTACAAACGGTAGATTTGGATAGTTTATATTCTCTGGAAAAATCAGCTTGATTGCATCCATTTTCAATTTTTCTGATTATGCCCATTTTATCATCAATGAAGAACGTTTCACGTTTACTGCTCATAGTTAAATTTGAGAAACTTGTTTGCAGGCTTTTTCAAACTGTACTGAGGGCAAAAGGAAGTTGAAATGAGGGCCTTATCAACACATATTAGTGTCCAACCCTTTGACCAATAATGACTCATTCCCTATGACAAAAAATGCGTATTGATCCCACTGACACCTTACATGTGCATCATCATCTGCCTGGGTTGGACATCTGCTTTGTTTGTTTAGGGATGGGAAAGTGAGATAAAAGAAGCAAACAAGAAAAAATTCTTATCGCTACATTCCCCTCTATAGATGGTTTTGAAAATCGGTATATGCATTTAATTTGAAGCAGAAATTTCAAAATTATTAAAAAAAAAAATTTTTTTTAAATCTGTCGAAGACAGAAAAAAGTTCATTATATCCAACTTCCTCACTTTTTTGGTTCACTATATCCACAAAAAATAGCATTATACGTGTATAGCAAGGCACGGGACCGAGCATTTCGTTCACTATATCCGGGAGTTCACTATAAACCGTGTTCACTATAGCGGGGTTTGACTGCATTACTAAAAACCTTTCAGAGATAAAGACAATAGAAAAATTCTGGAATAATTCCATCTGCAATTCTTCAAAAACGTAAAAATTGATTTAAGCTCTTAGGAGGTTTATTGACTCTTAAACTTGTTAAAGAATGTCATATTCAGTAAGTATTCTACAGATAGGCTGATTACAAGAACATATTCATCATAATCAAAAGAAACTTTAACATAAAATCAAGCGTGAACTGAAAAAAAAAATTATAACTTTGTACAAAAAATAAATATGTTAAACAAATTATTTTTCGGTAAAAAAAATGAACGTAATTTACGTTATAGAATAAAAAGAATTAATAAAAAAGAAAAATTCCGCTGATAAAATTAAAAATATGTTACTTCATTTTATTTTTAAAAAAAAAAAATTAAAAAAAGACAAAGTGTGCAAAACTTCAAAAGCAGATCTTGTCTTTTAATTATAGAAACAATTGTTATCACTACACTTAGGAAAAATTAAGTAATTATTAATTTCTTAAAATTGAATTTTTTATGGCTTCCGAAGGTCAACTTTTTTCCCGTGGTCTTTCTCTTCTTAACTAAGGCTGTACATTATTATTAATAGAATTTTTTTAAATAAAATAAATCATAGTCAATGAAATAAAATATCAACAGAGATCAAAAGATCTCTGTTTATGACTTTTGCTAAACAAGCACTTAAAGCTGAACAAGTTTTATAAAAATAGTTATACAATGCTTGCATAACTATAGTAGAAAAATTATAATGTATGAAGTAACAAACAAGTTCTTTATTTGCAAAGTTTATGATAGCAGCAGCACCAAGAATGATTTTTTTTTTGTTAATTTTTGGCAAAACTAAACAATAGACGTTATAGTCTGTGTTTTTTGTTAAACTACAATAGCTTTTTTTCACAGAAGTTATAAAAAAATTTGGATAGAGCTTAACTAAAATCGCAACTTTACAACTCATCATAAAATAATATATCATATTGAAGAAATGTAAAGATATATGCAGAAAATTATCATACGAAAAAGCTTTCGAAACTTGTGTACCATATAGATATGATGAAAAAATTATTTGTTCTCCATGAGTGTGGCTTAAAAAAAAACTTTTTTTTGTGGGTTTTGAAATGCCGCTAACAATCTCGTTAGCAAAAAAAAAAAAAATCATTATTTAAATTTTGTTCAAAATATGTAGATTTTGAACACCAAAAGATATAAAAGGTATTCTTTAATCACCGTTCTTCATATATATTTCGAGAATGTATTTCTATAACAAGTTAAAAACAACTTAAATAATAGTAGTTGTTAGTCAATATTTAAGAGAAAAAAATCTGATGAATCAGCCATAATAGACCATTCTAAAGTGAAATTAAAATAGCCAAAACCAGTGCTCTTGTTGTATGAATTTAAACTGAAACTTTTAATAGAAAAGTCTTTAAATTCATTAAGAATGAAGCAATAGATATCGCTAATGAGTTAAAAATTGCATGTGTATCAAGTGAATTGCATCTTGCATTTTTTACTTCAATTTTTAGATTTTATTATAAGCATTTCTTTTGTGTCCTACACCATGCATATTACATTAATTTATGTACAAGAAGAATTATAAAATACACATGACATTTAGAGAATGAACTGGATAAATATTACAACAATGAACAGTTACGAACCTATTGTTACATACATATAAAAACTGTTTTATCGGCAAAAGATGTGAATATTACTTAGCTGTTTTATGGAAACTAGAAAAACATTTTTTTAGTAAAAATAATGAGACTTTTCAAAAGTATTCCGTTATCGATATTGCAAAAATAAAAATATTTAATAAACTGTATTTGTTTCTAAATATTGTAAAGAAAGATACTTTTCAATAACTAGCTTAAATTATCTTCAACAAAAACTAAATACCAAAAAAAATGTATTTTAATTAAAAATGTAACTATTTCTTAAGCAGTAATTACTGAATTTTTTAATGTAATAATTATAAAATAAAATTTTAATTAACAATATTAAAAAAAATTTTTGAAGTTAATGTTCATATAGATTTAAACATTTCATTGTTAAAATTATTTGAATTTACATTAAAACAAGTTTAAAAAGAAAATCCTACATAATAGTAACATGTTGTACAAAATAAATATAGTAAAACAATATGTCTCTCTTGAAACAAAAACATCAAAATAGTATAAAACATGTAATTATAAAGCAAACATTTTATAATAGCTGAAACTTTTATTTCACATAATAAAAAATATTTGTACAAGTACTTCAGAACAAGAAAAAATATAGACTTTAAAACAAAACAAGAAACCAACGAATGTATATAAAAAATATGACACTAAATAAATCTTGGTCCTATTAGCAGAAATGTGGAAGACAGTAGATTTTAATAACCTAAAAAAAGCAATACAACCAAATTTAAATTCAAAAAACATAATTTATTTGAAACATATATGCATAACTCAGAAATTCAAAAAATAATAAAATATGGAGTTTAAAAAAATGTATGTTGGTAATTGTGAAAATTTCCGTATATTTTCCTGTTATGCAACTTTTGTAATATCAGTGTAGAGAAATTCAGCTATACTTCACCTTTAAAGAAAATTTATTATTTGGCTAGCTATATCATTATTTCATCAAAAAAATTAAATACATATAATTATAATAGTTACAGAAGTTATAAATTAAAACTTTTATTTCTCTATTTTCCTTTTCTTTTTTTTTTTTGACAATTGAATCAAACTAAGAACATACATTCTCATATGTATTTAAAAATTAATTTTCATTGTAATATCTTTCATAGTTTAATTTTCATAGTTTCAAGTAACTAGACTGACTAAATAATATCATTCTAGCAATAGTCTTCTTAGTATAATAATGTTAATTTTCTTACATAACTTAAATAAAATAAATCAGTATATTCCTAACATCTAAATTACTTAAAAAATATTTATTCTAGAATAAAATTTTATTTTAGACCAAAGATTTATTCTACATCCTTCATGTTAATATATGAAGAATTACTTGAACCTTCTATCCTATTTTATTCCTATCTTTCATTATTAATTAACCAATAAACATTTTTGAATATTTTTTGCTTCATTTTATTCAATGAAATGTGCTTTATTGAACACAGTTGAAAAATTAAATCTTTTAGTACTTCAAAAATATGAATTTATACCAATTGAAAAAATCATGAAAAAGTTGAAATTGAAAAAGTTATAGAATGTCTTTAACCTTAAATTTGGTAACTAGGTTTCATAAGGCACATTTAAATAAATAAAAAAAATACTAAAAAATGTAAACTAGTTAGTTAATAAATAAGTAAATTGCTCTGATATAGTTCTTCAGGAGTTAACGTGGAGAGAATATAGCCTTATTTCTGCATGAAGGGGATCCTTAATATTGGATTTAAATTTGAAAATGCCTTGAAAAAAATATGCCAAAAAATAGAAATTATAAAAATCTAAAGAAATAACTGCACTTTTAAGCTTATTGCAAAGAAAATTATTTCTTTTTCAATAAAATACAATGTAACCAAAATAAAATAAAAAGACATAATTACTATTTTTCAATCAATTATTCAGTTTATACCAAAATTAATTCAATGCAAAATACTTGTGATTAAAATACTGATACAGTCACGGAAAAAGTTTGAAATTACGACCTACAGTATTTTCAATTGAAATGGCATGCTTAATATAAAATTTTCAATTAAAATTAAATGGTTTGTAAAAAGATTTGTGTGTGTACACACACACACACACACATATATATATATATATATA